GGAGGGCGGGGGGAGGGGACCCCCCACCCACCCCAGTCTCTAATTAAAGTGCTCGCGACCAGACCCGAAGGCGCTCTCTGTCCGTCAGGGTCGCTCTCCGTCAGTCTAGTGGGATTCCTGGGGGTGGGGGAGGAGGACGGCCGAGGAAGGAAAGCCGCCCCCGGGTGTCCCCCCCCTCGCCCCCTCCAGCGGGGCCGCGATCCGGCCCTAGGTCCGTCCTCTCCCAGCCCAGGGCGCCGTCTACCCGAGGCTCACCCCATGGCTCCTCCTGCGGTCAGCACCCTATTCCTGTTCCCGGGCCTTTACGCCAGACATCAGGGACCCTTTCTGCACTGGCCCCCCGGTGTCTAGAACTGTAGGTTTTCAGGGCACCCTGCCTCCGAAGGGGGGGGCGGGAGGGCGAGCGTGGTAGGCGCTTTCAGAAGTCCGGTGCCTTGAGGGACGACTGGGCAGGATCTGCAGGCCGCCCATAACGTCCCTTAAGAGTAACTTTTAGTCCAGTCTCGGGAGGAGCTTTGCAAGCAGGTGACAATGTGTGCAAAGGCCCCGAAATGGGCGGGAGTCCCCACAGTGTGTCAGAAGGGTGGGGAGGTGATGGAGGCCTTGGCACCGTGGACGTGGACAAGGGCAGGGCCTCGGCCCTTGAAGGGGGAACGGGCAGGGGGTGCCTTGGGTTTGAGAGGCCCCACCGCAGGCAGCTGGGGTGGATGGAGGAAGCTAGGGGTGCGCTTGGAGGCCCTGTGGAGGGGGCAGCTTTCCAAGGCCAAGGCCGGGGTTCCGCGCAGCCCCCACCTTCCAATATGCAGACCCTTCAAGGTGGCCCCGGCCTGGACCGGACAGTCCAGGAAAATGGGGTTGTGCAGAGGTGGCATCACCTGGTGCCCGCTCCCCACCCCCACCAACTGGAGCTCAGAGCACCGGGTATGAGGCACACACTTCATTAACCCTTTATTACAAGTCACGCTCTTATAGAAGTATATGTGGACTTAAGTGAAAAAAATCAAATGTATCCAAGAATAAAAAACACAGCACGTAAGTAGTATATGCATTCCAGTGTTCGCGCCGGAGAGCGCAGGCGCCCAGGGAAAGCTCTTCTAAAACGGCCTGGCTCCAGCCCACCTGCCAGCTGCGAACAGTTCAGGGCGGCTCAGGCCGGCCTCAGGCACAGTGTGGGGACCACCGCCTCCTCCCGCGGCCGGGCGGGTGGGCAGCACCAGCTCCTGGGGCCTCCCGGCCAGCGGCAACCCCAGGCTGCTGAGAGGTGCCAGGAACAACCCCTCAGGCTGGGTGGGCACATCTGGCCCGGCGGGGGCAGCAGCGAAGACGTCCCGGTCTCCTGGGCTTCAGGGCCAGTCCTCAGAAGTCCTCCGTCAGTCCGCCTTCTTCAGGAAGATCTGGAAGAGCCGGCCCGGGGTCAGCAGGGCCCACAGAGCCGGCCCCAGGGAGCCACTCGGAACAGCTCCGTGCTCCCTGCCCTGCCGTGTCCTGCCTCACCTCGCTCAGAATGACCCACACGGGCGAGTCTGTCTGGATGGAGAGGCGCAGTGCTTCCAGGGGACCGAAGGCAGGGTCCACCTCGCCCTCAGCCACGCCCTTGTAGAAGGAGCCTGGGGACGGCAGTGCTGAGAACTCGTCCGGAGACCCCTGCTCAGCCCAGCCTCCAGCCTCTCCCCCCACCTCCGCCTGCCGGACCCCACTCACCGATCTGGAGGTAGCCATCGGGACTCCGCGGGTACCGGAGGGTGGTTGAGCGGCCCTCCTGCAGGGCCTCCTTGTCTGACTGGGGGTTCTGGGGGCGAAATCAAGGGGCTGAAGCCAGGGCTGTGGGAGAGGTGGCCTCAGTGCACACCCACACGCGACCACACTCACATCAAAGGGCAGCACCTCCACAGAAGTGTTGAAGAGCTTGTCCTCTGGGTGCTCAATGTTCCCGCTGCGGAAGAAGAACCTGCAGCCAGGCAGGCCTATGAGCTGCTGCAGGGTGGGAGCTGCCCAGGCACACTGCCCAGCAGAGAAAAGGCCAGGCTTGGGCCCCGGTGCTGGGCGACGCTGGGCACCACCAGGGGCAGCCATTGGCTGTGCAAGGGAGCCAGGCCTTACTCCTTGGAGGATGGTGATGGGCAGCATCACTGAGGCCCCTGGGCCCCGCCTGACAGTCTTTACAAGGTAGCTACCATTATGCACCCCACTCTTCAGATAAGCAAACTGAGGCAGGGGAGGGTGGAGTCATTTGCTGGGGCCACAGAAGTTTGTGGTGAGGCCTGTACCCTGGTAGCCACCCTGCCCCTCCCCCAAGGCGGGCCTGTGGGTGCGTCACTGACCGCTCAAGGCGCAGTGGCTGGAAGAAGCGGAAGCGGATGAAGTCCCCCGCAGCAGGCGTGAAGGCCCAGAAGAAATCCTCCCGCAGGTAGGCCTTCTCCAGGGTGAAGTGCTGGTATGTTTTGAGGCTCGTGCTCACTTCGGCCGGGGGGTTCATGTGCTCCTTCCGCAGCGCCTGCTTCCCAAAGTCCTTGTCCTAGTCCCGGAGAGACAGTGCTGCCGAGTGTGCCCTGGACGGCCCTGCTGCCCCTTGGCCCACCCACCCAGGCAGAGCCGGCTCCCACCTTCAGTTTCTGAATCTTGCCCGCCAGTGAGGAGTGCGTGCCCACATGCTGGAAGAGGGACGGCTTGAAGCGGATGCGGAGGTTGGCCTTCTGCCGGTCACAGTGCTTCTGTGGAGGGCGGGCACCATGCTAAGCGTGAGCTCACGCCGCCCCCGAGGCCAGGGCCCTCCCCCAGCAGCACCATGTCCTGAGTCAGGCGCTCTCCCGCAGACACTGGCCACGCTGGAGGCTGCCAGCGGCACCGCCCGGCCTGCCGCTCTGCAGCCCCTGCTCACCGCGTCCTTCTCAGGGTTGCAGACCTTCACCCACAGGATGTGGTCCAGGAGCCAGTCGATGGGCTTGTCCCGGTAGAACATGAGGATGAACTCCACAATCAGGCTCAGGTCCAGGGACTTAAACATCTTCCCTGGTGGGGAGGGAGTAGGGTGCTGAGCGGGCAGCTCTGCCCTGCCCTGCTTCCTCTTAATCCCTGTGGGAACCACTAGGGAGGGTCCCACAGCAAACCCTGTGCCCAGCTGCAGGCAGGTGTGGGCACCGGGGCCAGACACTGGTGGTGACTCTGAGGGCAGGTGGGAAGAGGCCAGATGCGGCTCCAGTGGCCTGGAGTGGTGCTGCAGGGGAGGGGTCTGGGGCAGGTGGGGG